TGACCTAGATTATTTTTCTCTTGCCTATGGATGATACAGAGACCTCCAGCATGTTCCTGACCTTGAACACAAATTTTTTAGCCACTTTCAAGAAACTGCCTATTTCAGTTATGATTGGTGGCTGGTATCCCGAGATAATCATACTTTTTTTTTTAATTTTCTGTGCCAAATTAGGAGCTACCATGTTACTAATTCTCTCAGCATGTCTGAAAGTGTGTGTACAGGGAATGAATATTGAAATTTGGTGCATGCTGTGTAACATTGTTAGGTCATCTTCCATTTTTGGACCACTAAAGGAAGGTTCTCAAATACCTGGCACACTCTCACATATTCTGTCAGTTTATTATTAAAATTGTTTTTCTTGTTACAATGAAATTGTCTTTATTGGAGTACATGTTTCAGCTTAAAATATGAAAAATATTAGTAATATCTTGTTTTGAGAGTGACAGGTGTTATTATGCAAATAAACTAAGTGCAACATAAATTTTGACTTCTAAATAAATCCAAAAGGTGTATGCCATATAATTATTTAATTAACACAATGTTCCATATACTTGAATACTTATTTTATGTTATAATCTACAGGGTATTGCAAAAGTAAACACCCTTTTTAACAAAAATAAATTACAGTAGTTTAAGTAAATTTACAAGTATTATCACATCAAAACATTATTTAATATGATTAATAAGCAACAGTTTGATAAAATGCTGAACTCTATCAGCAACACTTTTACATATTTCTATATTAATTTCAGAAAATTTATTGGAAATTGCTTGTGTTAAATCAGTAATTGTTTTTGGTTTGAGCCTGTAAACAATTTCTTTCAGTACACTTCACAAGAATAAGTCTGTTGATGTTGACTACTCAATTGCTCCACATTATCCTATCTGCTGTAAGTTATTTTTGTCTGATAAAAGTTAATAAAAGAGGGTGTTACTTTTGCTGCACTCTGTATGCTTCTTGACATTCTATAACCTTCATCACTCTCTTTCATTGATTTTAACTCATTTATTGTTTCAACTTTAACATTACTAGTAGCAGTTTTTATTATTTTCCAGAGATTTTCTTTGAATATTGTTTTCTGTTCTCATATCTTTTAATGATGGTTCACAATTTTTCTATTTGATTAAAATCCAGAAAGGATTTCCTTATTTTGACATCTTTGAAATTTTTTTAAATTTTTTTCTGCAAGATGGTTACTAGTCAACTTTACAAAATACTTTGTATGAATATACCCTTTAGCATAAAACCTCTTGGTTTTGACCTCTACCACTTACAAAAAAAAAAATTATAATTTACTGCCTACAATACTAGCCCAAAACATTACTCCATCTCCCCACTGTTGTATTCTAAGTTAGGTTGGTCCATGTAGTCTAATTTTTTGCCCAGCCATTTGGTACATCCAATGTAGCTCTATTATGTATTACTAAAATTTACTGTTGAGAAATCTGGTTTGTATGTTTTCTCTGATATTTGTGCAATACCAATTTCTAAAAATATTTTTTTCCTATTTCCCTTTTTTCTCTCATCTGTTTTTTCTTTTATATTTCCCTTTTTTCTCTAAGCTTTACAATATCTTCTCTTTTGATCTTATATTTTTCTGCAACTAATGGAAATCTTTATACAGAGTGTGGTACATATACCTCCCACATAATGGTAAGACATTAGGGGCGATATTGTCTTCATCTATCTAATGTCTTACCATAATGTGGAAGGTATTTCTGCCACACATTTCCTTTATCTAATAATTACTTTTATGTATTTCTTTCTTTTGTGTCATGCTCTATAGTGAAAATGTAGGTAAATCAAGTAGTAAATAAGGTAGTAAATTTGTGTGTATAATTTCCTTAGTCATTTTAATAATCTATACAAATAAAATATTTATTTTATTTAGAGAAAATTAGTTCCTGAGCAAAATTAACCATTTAATTAATCTTACTACTACATTTCTTATTTGTTCAAGCCTTTCTTATGAGGGACTTGTAAAACTTTTTCTAAGTGATCATCTTGCTTCAACTTTAGGCTTTTTTTGTTGCTGTTTTTGTCGTTCTGTTGCTAGCCTTTTCTTTCAAGAGGTGTTTCCATTTTGAGTTATCTTTATATTAAAGGACATTGAGTAAAAAGTGATTTCTATAATTCCAAGAGTAATCAATGGATCATAGATTTCTATTTCAGTTATGAATTTGGGATCTTTGCTTTAATAAGACTTGATATCTTCTTTTGAAGATTTTATTTCATTGCATCCTAATATTAAAACTTTCTAACACTTTGTCATTTTTTTATATGGGTATACTGGTTAAAAAATAAGAATAAATGAAATTCCAAGTATATTTATTATAAAGATTAGTATATGCTGACGATTTTACCAATATTGATTGCTACATAACAATTTTGTTGTAAGAAATATTGACTTGTGTAATAAAATATGATAATAAAAATTAATCTTTTTATTAAAACTATGAAAAATATTAAAATATGATTTTGTATTTTGTCTTTTAGGAGCCAATGAAATCAAGAGCACCACAATTACATTTGGAATATAGGTTTTATAAACAGCTTGGTCAAGCAGGTAAGTTTCCAAAAATATCTTTGGATGGTAAATGTAGGGAGATTGAAAATGTTGTTTCGGGGGATTAGATCTCGTCAAGTGATTGAGATATATAAACTACACACACACACACACACACACACACACACACACACACACACACACACACACACACACACACAGAGGGTGTGAAGGGTAAATTGTTGCCATTTCATATTTTTAATTTCATGTTTATGCATTGTTTGTTTTTGATTTTGTCGACTTCACAGTATAATAGCCAATTTGGCACCATCTGTGAGAAAAAGAGCACCATGATGCAATTCACTCTGCCAGAAATTTGGAAACTGCATGCTGTACTGCTTGGCATTCACACTGGAAGCTCCAATATGAACATTTCAGTGTGTTTGAGTATCAATCTGAGGACAGTGCAGAGAATTCAGAAAGAGTTGGATGAGTCTAATGGTGATTACTCCTTGTAACACCAAAGATGAACTGAAGGCACTGATTATGGTAGTATTCACCAACTTAAACAACTGTCCAGAAGAGTTGCAGGAGAATCTGAAGTCATCTGGCAGCAATGGTTAAAGCCAATGGTGATTTTATTGAATAAATTTACTTATTTCAAGATATTTTTTGTGTAATTTTTGTAAATATATGTTAAAATAAGTTATTTTCATTTATGCATAATTTAGATGACAATAACCTTTGCACCTTGTGTATATAAAAATACTGTGCTTATTGAATTAATTAAAATTATCTCCATTTTTACACATACACATCATATTTGACACTTTCATAAAAACCAGAAAATATTTGAAAATATTTGAAAAAACAGTATATAGACAGATACAAAATTAATGGGTGAATTAAAAAATTGATTTTAATATTTTAAGATGGTTATATTTAATTCTGTGTGTTCTTCACTTTTAGTATCAATTTATTTAATATTTAGAAATGAATATGATTTTTCTTTGTTTAGTTTAAGTTTTCCATCACATTTTTTTTCCACTGAATATAATTTTGTTCTACAGTTATTATCAAATGTCAATAAATACCAAATGGTTTATTGCTATGCACTGGGGTAGCATTTATAATGGTTACCAAACACCAGGATATTTTGGCATTTATTTTATACAGACTTAATAGGGAAATAGTCATTTAAGGTAGTTTGTGCTTTTTAAAACAGAACTGCTTTATCGTATTATTTACATTGTTGCTTCAATCTATCTTGTTTAGGAGTGTAGAGCAAATTAGTCAACTTAATGCTGGAAACTGTCAGTTATAGTGTTGAATTCTAACAACAGTATCAGTCTTGTAGCAAATTAACTTTATATAAAAGTACTTGTACTATTTGATGTAAATTTTGTCTTTTAGTTTCCCTGTTAGACATGATTCTGTTGTAACACTCCACACCAATTTTCTGTAAAAATTACCTAGCTTTAATTTTTTCTTATTTGTACAGAATGATTTGAAGTAAAAACAAAAAAAAATGTATTTAATTTGAGATGTGCAAATTAAAAACAATTTACACTGATAATGTTTTGACAGAATTTAAAACTTAGTTTTATTTAATCTGAAGAAGGTTTGAAAATGGAAGTTTTTTGTTCAGAGATTTTGCGTTTTTGTAATTACGTGATGTTAAAGAATTAACAGATATCGAATATGAAAATTGCTTGATAATCATATGCTTATGTTTTTTATCTATCTCTGTTAATAAAGCTGAAGAAAGGACCTTGAACTATAGAGAAAAATAAATTGGCATTGTAGCTTAAAGTGGAGTTAATTCAACTTGTATAATGATTGACTGTAATTGATGTTACTGATCAATTTTAATGGCATGATCCATTATTTCTGTATTGAATCAAGTTCCATTTCATAACACTTAAATGTGTGAATTTTTTTTAGTCAAGTATAAATGCACAAGATACTTTTAATACTCTTATACTAACATTAAATTTTTATTTATCAACTCATGACTTGTCAGAATCAAGTTGTGTTCCTAATCAATTTTACAGTTGAACTTAAAATTGTATAGAAAGAAAATTACAACTAAAAATATTAGTTTTGTTTACAAATATCAATATATTATTTTATTTGTCATTTCTTGTTTATTTTTAACTTTTCAATTGTTCAATTAAATGTTGCTTCATGTTGTCTTTCAGGAATTTTAATTTTTTACTAATATAATAAAAAAGAATATGTTTCTCTTATCCAGTTAACTAATATAATGCTTATTAATATCATTGCTCCATTCTTTTTAAATGGGGTCAGCATGTGGTAGTTTCCCTTTTTAGTTACTAACATACATGCAAAGTAATGCTGATAGCTGTAAAATGCTCAATTTCTAGCTTACAATTCATCAGGAAATATTTTTTGGATTCTCTAAACATTTAAGTTGTTGGAAATAGTTTCAAAGATTATAAGATTCATATTTTTTGTTTCTATTTGGCAAACTTCAAACTATTGAGATACTTTATTTAATTAAGCTGTACCTTGGATCTTTTAATGTATCCATGAACAAATATATATTGTAATCATTAACTACTGTGAATGCTCTCCTTTGCTATGAAATTAATTATAAAAATATAGTTCCACCATGTTTTAAAGAACGGTCCAGTTTTGAATAATGTATTCTATTGGGATTTGAGCTATCAAATGTTTCCACTTATGATTCTTTTTGAAAATGGGAGAGAACATTTTTTTTATTTTTTATTTTATTTTATTTTTTTTTTATTTTTTATTTTTTTATTAATCATAAATTACCACCATATGAAGTGTTACCTGAATACCTTGTCATATTCTAAAAAAAAAGTACAAATTTTTATTACGCTTATGTTTAAAAATTTTAAGCTTTGATTTTGGTTAAAAAAAATCACTTAACCTTGACGACTCTGAAATACAGTAATAAATTAAAACCCTGTTGTATTTGCTTCTCTTACTGAGTGAATTGTTTTATATCTTCTCTCAGGATTGGATCTCTTATGTTGTGTTTCACCATTTCATGGTGAACCAACTATATAGATGCTTGAGTTGGATATATCTTTCTTTTTTTGCATATCATTTTCATTTATACTAAATCATTGCTGGAATATATTTGTGTACTTAGTAAGAAATGATTAATCCTTTTACCAAGAACCTTAGTGAAACGGAAGCCAAATTCCTTTTTTTTTTTTTTTTTTTTTTTTTTTTTTTTTTTTTTTTTTTTTAGAAAAGAAGTTTGTTCAATTAATGGAGTAAAAGAAAGACAACTGTATTGCACCACTTTGTGTTTCATTTTTCTTTATCTTCAGCCATGTATGAAACTATTTCATAATCTCCCACCCTACCACTATTTTTTTATTTTACTAACTGCTGTAGGTACTGTTTGCAGTCTTTGAGAAAATTGAACATTTTTCTTCATTAGCAAAATTCTGCAGTGACTGGAATAAATGGGGAATCTGATGATGAACTATGCCTGAATTTGATGGATAAGTGAAAACATCTCAACCAAGATGTAATAATTTCTGCCTTGTTAACAAAGAAACATGTTGTGCAACATAATTATACAACTAGAATATTATATTTAATTAATTCATCGAGTCTGATAGAAACCTCTACAGAATGCAGGAAGCACTGGATGGCCGTTTCGTCTTATATTTGGGACTCATCAGCAAAAGCATCCACTACCGAGTATCGAACCCTGACAGTTGGGTTGTCAAGCGAACACCATACCAACTGTTCCAAATGGGCCTCGGTGACGAAGAGATTCCAAATCAGACTCAACTAAGCGCCGCTTATTATGATTGATATGTTGCTGTAATTTCTATTTTATGTTTGAAGAAGTTTAATGACAAAAGATGGTTGGTTTGTTTCAAATATTGAATAAAATACAAGAACATGGCTTAAAGTGAATCCCAGTGTTTTTTTTTTTTTTTTTTTTTTTTTTTTTGAAAAAGCTTTTAAGTTTGTAGAAGATAGATTTTCTTTTTAATTTTTTTAAAATTTTTATAACAATTGTCTCTTTTGACTTGTTAGATTGTATTAACCAATTTTTTCTTAACTTATTTTGTGGTTAAGGTTTAAAAACAAGTTTTACAAGAACTGAAATGAACTAGACCTTTTCTTATTAAACTTAATTTGGCACACAAACCACAAATGTAGGACACCCAATTGAACTGAGCTTATTTTATATTATTTGTTACTCGAGCTTGTTAACCATTATCCCTACTGTAAAGCACCCAACTTTTAGATTAAAAAGAAAAAATAAATAAATATAATCATTTGCTAAATATTTGAATACAATTTAAAAATTACTTTAAAAAATAAATAAATATGAAAATTTCTTTGATTATATATTTTCTGTTTCCAAAATAAATAGTTATGAATTTGTTAGTATATATATGATGACCTCGATGTGATTCTACTCTTTTTTGTCTCTTTTTTTTTTTTTTTTTTTTTTTTTTTCGCAATGCTTTCTTATAAAATGCTTCAATACATTTTAATAACTTATAATAAATAAAAACTATGATGTTACTATTCAGCTCTGTCGCAAAGACTTATTATTTTTAGTCCCACTTTCATTGTTTTACTATGCTTTGCTTAAATCTTTTTCTTACCTGTCTTCGGTGTACTGGCTATGAAACAAAAAAGTACCTTCTATTATTCATGTCTAATACAATATAATCTGATGTTTTCTATCCATCATTCTTATTTGTCTATACTTATTTCATTTTGAATCTTGTAATTACATTTGTTAAGAAAATTGCCAAAAATGATTAAAAACCTATTATAAAAAAAAAAGAAGTGTACTTATCCATAGATTATTTAGTAACCATTTTTCTGTTGTGTAATGGGTAAAAATATTAGCTCCAGTCTTGTAAAGTGTAAAAGAAGCTGATTTGTAGTTAAGTTCAACACTGTATTCTGTATACAGTGGTAGGGACAGTAAGTATTGGTCTGGTATGAAAAATTGAATGTTTCATTCAATAACTTTCTTAATGTGATCTACTAAATTCAAATTAGGTCACAGCTATGGTACGCCATGGTCACAACTAAAATACATACAAAATAGAAAGTAAATACATTTATTGTTGAAAAGAGTAAGTAATGATGTCTGAAAATGCACAAACAAAATGTTTGAATCTGGTTGGTATAAGTAATTCTAACTTGAATGAATATTTGAATATAACTGTATTTTCTATTTCTATATAAACAGTTGACATGCTTGTATAACATGATAAAAACATTTGGCAACATTGCATTGTTGAATCTCATCTTTGGAGCCTCATATTATTTATACAGCAATTGTCCCGAACTTGTTCCACTATGGTGAAGACAAAGGAACTCCATATTGACTTGAGGCAATTATTAATAAGCACAAGGCTGGAAAGAGATCAGATGAGTTCCAAGGAGCTGACGTTTGTTAAGCACATGGTACAACTATAAGTTGGTTGTTCTGATAAAATTTCACCAAGACTTGTGCAAGATAATCAGCGACATCAGTACAGGAAGATGTAATTTGAAATCATAAGGCGTGAATGTTAGTCAGGCAATACATGTAGCTGAAAAAGAATGAAAGTTATTCATTAAAGAACAGTGAAGCATGGAGGAGCTTCAATTATGCTGTAGGGTTGCTTTAGTGCAAAAATGGGTTAGTTAACATTTGTAGATTGAAGGGAACCAAGTCAAAAAAGGCTGAATATTTTTAAAGGTAATTTGAGAAATTAGTCTCTGAATCTTTGCATGAATAGAAACTGGATCTTCCAAAAAAAACCAGTGGTTCCAAACAAAGCTAGTGACTGAATGGACAGAAAAGGGAAATGTTTATCATGGCCCTTGCAATCAATGCTTAGAAATCTTATTGTAAATTTATGGTGGGAATTAAAAATTAATGTTAGGAAATGAAATCCAAAGAACATATCAGAATTAAAAGTTCAATAAAGTATGAAGTAAAATTTCCATTGAAGCTTGCCAAAATATTTAGTTAAGTATTCTCCTGATGTCAGTATAAACTGACACCCCTTCTCTCCCCTCCCAATATATCCAAAGTAATTATAAACTAATTTTGGAAAATGAACAGTTAATTATTTTAGAAAATGTATTAGAAACAAAGAGTACTCATCTATTATGTAATATCAGTCCTCCTATATGGCAGAGAATACAGGACTATCTTCTCACAAATAGATTTGGGGCAACAGAAATGTGGTTCTACAGAAGGATGCTGAGAATTACATTCACCAAACATGTGAGCAATGAAAGTTTTAGAGAAAATGGAAGTGAAAAGGATGCTTAGACTTAATGAGAAAATTGAAAATTCTTGGGCATATAATAAATGCCCTAGAAATTTCAACATTCTCATATTAGAGGGCTTGGAAAATTTGATACTCCCAGGACAAATTGAAGGCAAGATGGACTGAGGAAAACCATGCATAACCTATCCAGAGAGCATGAGTAGATTGATAGCAGAACAGGGTTTAGGAGAGATAACAAAAAGAAATTTATTAAATTTCCTGTAAAGAACAGGAAATTCTAGAAAGCCATCAAGAGACACAGCACATAGAAGAATCCAAATGGTCCCAGTATATGAAAAATGTGTAAATTTAAATTGACAGCCAGAGGATATGGGTTATACTTTTGGGAAAACTAATTGAACAATAAAATAAAATTCAGTATAATTTATTGATGTTCAATTGTTCAATAACTTGTTACTCTAGTAATACTTTTTGTTCAGGTGTTTCTAAAATATGGTTACATAATTACGTCAGTAATAAATGTCTTTACTTCATATTTTATATGTATTATTACTGATTTTGTATCTGATTTGTAACCGAAATAGGACTTCATAGTTAACTTATAAAGCAAGTTAATGAAATTTTCACTTTTTCATACTGTAGGGATACGTATCACCCTGACTATATGATATAAAAAGTTAAGCATTTCACATCTGTGACCCCCCCCCAAACTCTTTATGTAAAATTTCTGTCTATGCTGAATATGGTGCAAATGAGATTTAATATTCTTGTGCCTAAGAGAGATGTCATCTGAATCCATCTTTTTAAATTTGAAAGTAAGTACCTTTCATTATTGAATTTGTAATTTCAAAAGATCATCAGTGTTGACTACTTGGTTTTTGTTCTAGAAAGTATGTATAATATAGTGACATGGTAGCTGATACCAATTTTGTACTTGAATTGAAAAATTGTTCTGTGAAAAGCTGATTAATGCCACTTTACAAAATTAGGATCTTTTTAAAAACTTGATGTGTTTCTCTCTTAGTTTGGCATAATAGATATAAGTTTCTTTAATGCTGAATGTCCCAGATAGATCACTTATCAGGTGTTTGTACAGGGTGCATCAGAAATACATCCCACATTTAAAAAAAAAAAAATCTGCTATTAAAAAATTTATTTCACTGCTGTTTAAACAAAGGTGTACAATATTTATTCATTTGGTTTTAAATCTGACATCCTCCAAATGGAGGTCTCTATTCAAAATACACTGTAGACAATTTCTAACTTTTCCATCATCTGAAACTTTGAGCACTTCGAGGTCTCATAGGTAGCTTGCTTTTTTTTCTTAAGCGCTGAATCTGTGGCTCTGAAATTTTCAACCTATAGCAGTATTGAATTTCTATCTGAAACAGCATCATTTCTGACGTAGCCTGAAATGACTGCAAAAATCTCTCTCTCAAAGATTTTCAACAACAAATTCATGGTGAGCACCAGTCCAAGCCGTGATTGTACCTGATATTAGGATATTAGCGTGATAAAAATATCATTGCTTAAGTTCACTAGCACCACACTGGTGACAGTTTAAAACATGGGATATATTTTTGTCACACTCTTTATTCCATGTACAGTGTCTTATTGTTGAATACCTTGACTTGATATTTGTTGAATTAATATAGATTTCTTACACTTCTATTTGTGTGTCTATACAAGTACCATTGTCTCCATTTTCAAAGATTACAATCTTTAGATGGTTACTTATTCTTTTTCTTGATTTAGTTCATTGCAGTTTTATTTTAGCTTATAACTAATAGTATTCTGAAAATATTCAGTTTATTTAAAATTATGAAAGTTTCAAAGCTGGACTTGCTTTGATTGGTTGATCTAAAAAAAAAAAGTTTAAGGATCGTAATTTGTTAGGATCAATAGCCTGCTTCTAATTAAAGTATAATTGAAGCACTGTTAAAAATGGCCAAGTTAGAATTGTTAGTATTACAAGCAAGCATCAAAAGGCAATTTTATTTCTTTTTAATAATACATTTGATATTTTTGACACTGTAATGATGCCAGTTTGTTTTACTCTAATAAATATACAAAATTACATTTAAAGGTATGGGATTGATTTAATGATAGGAAATTGATTTGTGAATGTTGTACTCTAATAATGCAACTATTGGAGAGTAGCCAATCGTTGAATCACAAGAGGATTCAGCTGACCATTTTAGGATATTATTTGGAAATTTAGTTCAATTTTGAGTAATTGGCATTGAACAACAATAATAATACAAAAATCTAACAAGAAATTTAAAAAAAAAAAAAATACTCTCAATTTATAATTGCCTGTTCAATTATAAAAAAAAATATCTTGTAACATATTCTAAAAATCTCTTTGGAAGATTTATTACAGTCTAGAGGCTTGGAAGAATTTATATTTCTTCTAATAAAAGGTTACATTTTTTTTCCTTGTTATAATTTTGAACATAATTTCCATGTTTCAGCAGAATTTTAACTATTTAATCTATTAGCTGTTTCTATATTTAAACAATAATTAACTTTTAAAATATATACAATGTTGAGAATAGATGAAGAGATTGAAGTTCAGAATTCATTTTTATATTAGATGCAGTTTTATATTATTTTTAGACATTATTTGAGATCAACTTCAGTCATAATTAATTTGTTTAAGTATGAATTTTCTTAATATTGAAATGACTTACCAACACTCCCTATAAGGACATACAGAATACAAATTTTATTTTGCCTTTTTAATAAATTTTGATGATTTTTCCAGTTATCTAATCAAAGTATCTTCTAATCTGTGAAAAGAGAAAAAACATACAAAGTAAATGTTGCCACACTGAAATAAACAATTGTGTAAAAATAGCTATGAAAGAAAGTGTATTGTTATGAAACTTAATTTTTTTTCATGTTATTTTTATAAAGATTAGACAAAATCCTGATAATTTTAGAGGCACTGTGTACAGACAAATGCAAATCTGCATTTGTAGAATATGGTTTTATATAACAAGCTCTAAACTAATACAATCTTTAATTTCAAGTCCATATTGTATACTGAATGGTTTAGTATGCATCTCTATAGAAAAAGAGCATATTTTCTAAATGTATCCATATCTTTCTATAACAAATGCTCTTTGCTCCATTTTATGTTTTCTTTTAGGATCAAGTGAAGAGTTATCTAGTAAGTTGCTTTCTTTTTTTTCTCCTAAAAGACAAAAAAACAAAACTTTTTTTTTTCCTTTCAGTTTTCATTGCATTTTGAAGCTAGAAAGAATACTTTCAGTTGTTGTTGTCATTCTCATTGTTGTGTGCTTACATATTGTATATTGTTTATTTGCATTCATTCCTACTTCATAAATTCACATGTCAACCATACGTTTACATGTTGACCTTACGTCAACTTAAATATTAAGTTGACATAAGGTGCTGGTGAAAAAAACCAGCTTTCATCTTATGTTTGGAGATAATTAAAGAACAATGTCATTTCAAAAGGAAATACTGTTTGCTACTGTTGCATGTATTCAGTATGACAGAAAATATTTAGTCTCTTTGTAATAATGACTAAGAGAATCTTGGCATTATTTCCTGTCAAATATTTATTCAACCCAGTGGCACGCATTATTCCCTTACTTCTTTTTTTTTTTTTTTTTCCCTCCATTTTTTGTTAGCAGGAAAGAGTTTTTAGTTAGGTATCACTTCAATTTTCTCTTTTGGGTAAATATATTGCATCTTTATATTCAGTACTGGAGACCTTGAGGCCTGTTACCCAGTGCTTTATCTCATTAGGAGGTGGGAAATTTGAAAGAAAAATTGAATTCTGTAGTACTATAAGCAATGTTTTTGACAGGTCTTGTTACATTGGACATTTTAAATTGTTTTATAAGTACTAACAAAAGTCTTTTCTGATTGAATTTGAATGTTGATTGAAAATTTAAAAGTATGCCATTACATGTCTATCAATATGTCAGAAAATTATTATATTACATACAGCTTTCAGAATTCAGTAATTATTACTTCTCATGCATTTGAATTTTGGGTAAACTAGCCAATGAACATGAAATAAATGACATTTGATAGGTTATGCTGATAATAGGACTGTCTTGATTTTTATTAAGTGTTTCTTAATATAGCAAAAAAGGCTAAATGAGCAAAAAATGAAGATTTATTGCATCTATTTTCCAAGTTGGCAATAGACTGCCTTAAAAAAAAAAAAAAAAAAATCAATATTTGATGTCCTAGGCTTAAACATCAACTATCTCTGCCTTGAAGTAGACCAAACTTAAGTTTGCTACGTAACTCGGTTGCACATGGCAACAATGGTGGGGATATGTAGTGAAGGTTGAATTCATGATACCAAGTGAATTGGTCTGCAAAATGGTTCATGTTCATGTAAGCATTCTTGTTAATCACCTTGAATTTCTATACCTGTCAACTTAATGAGATTTTTTTTTTTTCATAGTTCGTGATCTTAAGGTCAAAGATACAAATCTCCCACATATTAGTATAGATCAAAACTATCTTTTGTTTTTTTTACAAACACAAATTAAAACCAAATATAGTATATATTCATTTTGCTTCTTGAGGAGTAATTGTTAGAAATCTTGCTTTTGGTAATTTTTTTTTTTTTCTTTTGTACATAGTGTCTTGATTTCTGTTGAAAATATTTGTCATTGCATTGTAATATCCTTAAGTATATTGCTTCCATTTGAATTTTAAAAATCTATCACTTAATGAATCTATCAGTAACATAAGCTGTTAGAGCATTATCATCAAAATACATTTTGTTTCCAGAATTTGTTGTTTTAGTTATTGAAAATGATAATTTATTATCTACTTAGTAGCAATTACATAAGCTTTTGTTGTATGATTTCTCCTGTTTCTGCTCATTTTTATCTATTTCAGTTAATCATAATGAAACATTTTTTCCTGATTTAATATAATAATAATTAATTCTATAAATGGTGCTTGTCTACGATTGTGGCTATAGCACCAGTTATTAATAATATTGTATTAGCTTTACTAGGTTCATTAAATTTTTGAGCTGAGTTCAAATTCCAGTCGGATTTGTTAATTTAACTTGCTTGCAAATACCCTTGGGAAAGGTATGAATCCATTTTCTAACCCCTCCCCCTAATTATGGGTAAAATAGTGGGACTTCTATTTGGAAAAAAGAAGTTTTTAATACAATATTCACTTCCCAAAAACAAATTATTCCTACAATTAAAAATTTGATTCAACTTCAAATAACTCACAAATAGTTAAGCTGTAAAAAAATAAATAATAAATCATTATTTGTTTCTCTAAAGGCCTATATTGCTTTTAGTCAAGATTGAATACATTTTTTTTTTTTTTTTTTTCTTGGATTAATGACTTATTTTCCTCTCTCCCCATTTCAACATTTTACATTCAATACTGGTTCTTGAGTATCTTTTTTACGTGACTTTTAATGATTTTCTAAGTTAATCTTTTTTCCTAAGAATTTTTATAATATTTCAAGTTTATTATAGAACTAATTATATGCTAATGACCAACTAGCACTATGTAGGTGAAGATGACATAACACTGATGACTACATTCATCATGGCATGATCCTTGCAATTCTGAGCTAAAATAGATTAGTGTCATTGTTGCACTCTTGAGCAGCCAGTATCATGCTCACCACTTTTTTCCTAAGGGTAAAGAGATAGAATAACAATAAGCTGATAAAATTATGACATATTGTGTGTGGGTGTGTATGAATTTTTGTATCAACAGAATTATGTAATCTTAGCTTTATTTTATAGATCTCATTACATGTGTATAGCATTTCAATATTTTCTGTTCTGAATGAAGATGACAGTTAAATAATTCAATAAAAAATTATCCTGAATTTTGTTTTATTAGATTCATTGAAGCAAATGGTTAAAAAATTTAAGTTTTCTTACTTAACCATATTGCTTTCAGTAACTTATAGGATCATGGTAGTCTTCTAGGTAGCCAACTATTTGGCAAACTAGTGTTATAGAAGTCTCCTGTGTAAGAATTTCATTGCTCCAAAATTGTATCCTTTGTCATCAAGACAACAACTGTGATTATTTCATTACTGTCTATCAAGGACAAGATCAACACGTTGGTGCCTGTGGTATAAGAATGAAATCTCTTCAAGTGAACAAAAATCTCTTTTCTATTCTTTTATGTATGATGTTTATAACATTTTCTTTTTATTCAATATTCAAAATTTAGTTGATTATAATTTTTTCTTTTTATTTATTTATGACTAAAATGGTACATAATTTTTGTTCATGTGATAAATTTATTATCAGTACCTTTTCATTGAAAAAAAAAAAAATTTTTTTTTTGTTATTCTTAATTTTTGAATAAGTCTCTTTAGGAGAATAGTTTTTATTCTGGCTTGAAGTTAGTTTTTCTTGTCATAGGTGAATGCATGGTAGCAAGCCTCATCAGCCCAGTCGCAGGACGGAACATTAGATCTTGCAGTCTTCAGTCCAATTCTCTACCTCTGAGCTATACCCGCAAGTGGTCTTCTTATAAATGTGTTGATTTGAAGTGCCCCCCCACCCCCATATATTGAAAATCCTTCCTATATCTGATAACTTTTATAATAGTGATAAATCCTTAAAAACACTAATATCTCCAGGTGATTTATTTTTATTTCACTAAGTTTTTTGCATAATTGATTTATCCCAAATGGCTAAGTCAAAATTTTCTTCAGCCTTACATATTTTTGGAAATTTTAAACCATATGCAAATAATGTGTTCATTACTCGGAATTCTTCACTTCCTTTTCTCAACAGCGTGTGATTGCTTGGAGAATGCATTTTCAAAAATACCTTCCCCCCCAAACAAATGCATGGAATCTCTGTTCGTTCTTGTTTGTTGAGAGTTCACTTTCTTTATTCAATTTATTCTTTTTGCCAAAATATTAAGAACCTTGCTTAAACTGGAAACCTTAAAAATGTCCATGTTTAAGATTATAGCTTTTAAACTGATGTTTTTGAGATTTTTTTTTTTTACTTTCCATGTATATAACCTATGATATCACATGTATTAAGTAAATAAGTCAATTTTTATTTCATCGAATGATTGCATATAAAGTAACAGTAAATTTTGGTGGTATGGGTTAAGCAAACCTAACTAGTTGTATTTTAGTGTTGGCTTCATTTAAACTTTAAATTTATTTAAATAAGCAAGCAGGTTTTGATTTTCTCTGTTGCATATTGACTTGACCATGATTCTACCATTTCCTCACTTAGTTTTAGGCATTTTCATCATTAGCAAACTATTTCTAATGGTAAGAAAAAAAAAATGAAGATGATTGAACACTGAATTTTTCACTTTTAATGTACAATTTATTTTAGCAAATTTCTGTACCCACTCTAAACCAAAGCACCAAAAAATTAATGATTACCTAATAATGGTTGCTAAGTGACATGGAATCAACAGTGTTGGTCATATTCCTTGGTTTTCCAGAATTGAATTGTGACTTTTTAAAATTTCTTTTATTTTTTAATCATTTCACTCCAAGCAAGGTAGTAAAAGCACTAAGACACAAGGAGTTACTGAGTGTGAAAGAATAAGAAAAACCTTATTAAGTAGCAAGAACAATAAAAGAGGGATCAAGAAGACTCTACATAATGATTAGCAGCTACATTACTGCATTCGGAAAGGGACTGAAACAGATGCCAGGTCAGGACCAATAACATTGCAGAAAATTTAGTGAAATCTCTAACATATCCTATACATGTTTAATGATATTTAAATTTGGTGAATGTGGGAACTAATTGAGTACCTTGATGTTGAGTGGATGTTGCTGAAACTAGTTTCATGCTATCTGTGCATGAGGTGGGGATTTGTGTTTTCTTGCTGGAAAGCCCAGGGGGAAATAGGATTTTCGAAGAAGGTGCAAATTGTCTGCAACAAGCTGTCATACTTGTCAAAATAGACTTCAGTTTCACTTGTGGTCCATGCAGACTCCATTTTAAAGTATCTGGACTCCTTCCTTAGAGGCAAGAATTTTCTCCAGTCAAAGTCAAATTGAAGAATTTATTCCTTTGACAAGTCATGAATTCTCTTTCTAATGTGGGATAAATTTAGAGAAGCTGATGGGTTGTTAGTGTGTATGTGGAACTGGATGTCTCGATCGAATAAACAATTTCTTCCATTTATTTCGTTTGAATAATTTTGTAATTTCATGTTGAACAACCTAATATGCAAAATTAAGTCCTTAGCATTTTTATGCAATTGAGTAATGAAATAAGATAATTACCAGTGCCAGTTGTGACCACTGCCATTTGATTTCCTGCCTTCAAAAGCATGAATGGATGCTCATAACTAAAAGGATTTTAAGATTTCATCCTCTGAGTGAATCCATTAAAGGAACTGCAATTTTTTTAGCATTTGAAAACACACACACATAGTAGTTAGGTGGTTTTAAAAAATAACTTCAATTCCCCCCCGAGTGCATAATGACTTGTCAGATTATTACTGGATTTAAAAAAAAAAAAAATGGGTTTCTTTCTTAGCAGTTCAACTTTGTCAGAATGTTATTAATTGCTTTACCTTCATATGACTTTATATGCAATAATAGTGTTGTATGTGCATGTATATTATATATTTAGCTGTAAACATTTTTGGAATATTATTTTATAGATAATTTATTGCCTGTGCCTTTATTATTGTAACATTGATTTCCAGATAATGTTAGAATAAAGCAACATTTTTCTTGTCTCATTTACAATGATCAACTTTTCAAAATACTGAGGCTGAATTGGTTTCAGCTGAGAAATTCTCTTTTTCAGAGAGATTTTATCAGAAACTTTTGATGGACAAATTAGAGAATAAAATAGATATTAGTAAGTTTTATCCTTTGATTTAAGGTGGGATGAGGATAGATCTTCTCTGCTACTAAATACAATAATTTACTCAATAAATATTTAGCTCTTCATCACTTATAATTTACAGGAGTCTCCACAAGAAACTGATTGCTCCAGAATCATGCCATGTGTAGATTGGTTCAGAATAGTGTCAATTTGTGGAACCTTGTGGTACAATGTGCAGCTATGTTTAATTTGTGCTCAACATTTGAATTTTGTATCTTGGTTGGTATGTGGTGATGGTGGCTGAAGGAGGGTTCAATCAAAATATTACATATATATTATATTAAAACAAAAATAGAAAAAAAAAGTTTAACTTTTCTCACAGTTTTTACATAAGTTTTAAAAAATAAAGTAAAAATTCATTTTTTTTTTTTTTTTTAATTTTTGATCTTGAAGTAAAACTTTGCATGAAAGTTATTTTATTTACATTTGCTTTAAGGCATTTTACTATCCTTCTGACAGTTTCCATTTGTATTTACTTAATGAATCTATGATTACTGTTTCTGTTGGTAGATGAAATGTAGAAAAAAAAAACATTTTATTCAAATATAAAGCATAGTATTTGATTATAAGGAAATATAAAAAATAAAATTCAGTGGAAAAGTTATGGCTAGACAGGCTTATTGAATTCTAGTTGAAAGTACAAAACTTGTTAAAATGGCAATAACAATTTTTAATAGAATAGTTTGTTGTAAAGGTGTGGGTAATAGTTACTTGTTTGGCCTGATGGTTCTTTGATCAAAGTACTTAAATGTCTTTTTCATTTGACTTGATTTTTTTTTTTTTTTATTACCTGATTAACCCATCTCTCTAGAATAAGCTTAGTCATTTGATAATAACCAGACTACTTGGCGCTTTTTACATTTAATTATTCTACAATTAAAAGGATTTCTTATCTCTTGATGGATTAAGCTTTAAAATCCGGCTTATATATATATATATATATATATATATATATATATATATATATTTCAATAAATAAAAATAGTTTATGAAGTAATGTTTATATGTGACTAAAGTAACCCAACAGCTTCAGTTGAATATTTTACAAAATCTGTGTAGGTTGGTATTAATAGTTTAGGTTAGTCTTACGTACACTCACACACGTTTGTGTGAGTTCAAAGAGTTTCATTTTTGAGATACAGAAATTTCACCATAACTTTTTGACATTTTTATCACCCCACTCCAATATTGAGCATATCCTTTTATTTATTTATTTATTGAAACTGAAGTCTGAATTTAGCATAAAATAGTTTTGAATGATACTTCCTCTTGTACCTTATCTCAAGAGTTTCTTTTATACCTGAACTAATTGAAGTCTTCTTGGGAGCTGCTTCTTTATTCAAAATTCCTGCTGTTTAACTGCTGGGAAATAGATTGGCTAACAACATTTTGATGAAAAACAGAACAGATGAAGAAAATAGTCTAAAATTAATAATAAAAATATAAACTGTATCTACATATTTGAAATCATCTTGCTCTAAAACAATTTCATTTTTTTTTTTTTTTTTTTTAAATTGCATTAATGTCAACAATTCTTTTTTAAATATAATCCTTATCGTTATTGAAACTGGTGGGGCCAAGTTTTCATTGAGGAAAGATAATAGTTTAACATGACTTTTCTTTAATTATAAAAATGCTTGATTCCATTGAAGTTGAATTAAAAAGAATAAAAACTTGTTAAAACATATTTTGGAAAGCTTTTTGCAATCCTTGATCACTCGAGAAATAAATGAAACAGTGATTAAACTACATGGGTACATTACAAATTTAAATTAACAAAACTAAAAAAAAAGTCAAATAGATCAAATTTTTTTGTTAATTTGAATTTATAATGTATACAATGTAGCTTAGTCACTGTTTCATTTATTTTTCAAGAGTGATCAGATTGCAAAAAGCTTTCAGAAATATATCTGTTTTAACGATAAATTATTCGTTGAAATAACAAGTTTTTGTTCTTTTTAATGACTTTTCTTTGTTCAATTTCTTTGTTTTAAATGATGTTGAAGACAAAGATTATTTAGTGTTAATGACTTTTGTTGCATCTTTCTACTCTCAAATCCCTGTGACATCCATAATGCATGCTAATGTTGTCAATGACTGTTTTGTACTGACATGATTTTTCATTATAAAATAACATTGCATGATTTCAAAGATTTTTGCTGTGGACCAAAATGTTTGGCTTTTTTAATTACTATTTCAAAGTATAGTGTACCAAAATTAATGTACTGAATAACTCCCAAATATTAATGTATATCTTCAATTGGTTTGCATATGAACACTTTTTGTAAATGTGTAGAAAATGAATTCTTGGAGTACCTATGACATTTTTACTTGCTGCAGATGAGTTAAATTTTTTATTAAAGGCATTTATATTTTGTACTTTTTTATTTTTTTTTATTTTAACAAATTTCTCTTAATTTTCAAATATTTATATAATTAATGCTTCAACATCCACTTATTTAAAACAAAACAAAAAAACAAACAAACCATGTACAAATTATATTTGTCTAATCAAACTGAGATTGTTAATGTCTTGCAGTTGATATTTTCATAATATCCTTTGAGCTGTGGTAATATCACATTTATATCAAACTCAAATTTGGATTCAACAGTGGTATATTCTTGAGTATTTGATATAATATATAACATACTATGGTCATGGGCATGATTATTAAATAACTGTGTTTTGTTTTTTGTTTTTTTTTTTTTGTAGAAGGTATACCTCAGGTGTATTACTTCGGCCCATGTGGACGATATAATGCCCTTGTGCTGGAGTTACTCGGACCAAGTCTGGAAGATTTATTTGACCTATGTGATCGACGATTCACTTTGAAAACAGTCCTTATGATTGGGATTCAGCTCGTAAGTATCAGTGTAGATATTTTGTTATAATTTCAGTGCTTTCAGATAATTTGTGTTGTATATCCCAATTATATTATTCATGTACTAATTTTTTTTTTTATTTGCATGAAAATGTTAATTATAGATGGAGAAATTGGAAAATAGCAACCTGCATTTAATTTTATTATTTTATATGTGACTATTAGGTGCTCCATTTATCAAAGACACAAAACATAAACTGTTTAGAATTCAGTTTAGGCTTGTCTTGCAAGCTATTGATAGTTGGTTCTCAAGAAATCAGAGCTTAAGTAGCCAGGATAAACAGGCAACTTTCTGTACCTCCTAATTCCCATTCAGACTTGTAAGAAAAAGTCTGTTTACTGAAAATATTCGTCACTATTATGTATTGTCTATGAAGTGCTGTGGCATAAATACTGTATTATTGCTTGGAAAATAATATCAGTACACAAAATTGACCAAAGAAAATGAAATAAACTTCTGTTCTCTTTTTAAAGTAATACTTAGTATTTTTATGTCTGAATTTTTGAAATGAGGAATTATCATTTCCAAGCATGTGAGGTTGGCAATTCGATCCCTGCCGCAATCACCTACTAAAGGACATATTGTGTTTATTCAACAACCATGGAGACCACCTGTGGTTTATACTGCAACTATGCTGAGTAGACTTTTAGTTACAGTTTCTGGGAGTGTGCATAATCTGTCATGGTCAGAAGTTTGAATGGCGCCAGTAAACTCAAACCATCAGTCACGATGACTTGTGACTTTGTGCTAGCACAACCATTAATGGCTTTTGAACAGTTCTGTCTACCCAATTTTGCTCACATGGTTTGGGTCACTCTGTAATAAGGTTTTCAAGCACTTTCCAAATGTGTCACATGCTGGAATCACCTCCCCAGACTGTTAAAATCATGAAATCACCTTCCTTATATATATATATATATATATATATATATAAAGACCATGGTGAGATTCAAACCTGGATTTCATGGTTAGAAAATGAATGTTCTAACTACATGCCCATATTCAAATGATCATGCTCATATTAGTTATTAACTAAGATGAGCATGCTCATCTGAATAGAAAGTATTGCTCAGTATATTTGAGTACGTGTCTTCCTCATACTATTTTTATTGTACTTCAGTGCTGACTCTATTATTTTCTAAATTGATAAACTAATGATCTTAATTTGTGGTCAGTATGTTATAAATGCCAAACTGTTGAGTAACTTTGCTGCTACTCTTTAGTGCCATGTACCAAATAACCTTTATGTAAGTACTTGTTTGCATTTACCAACTAAGTTTATATAAACAGCCTATTTCATTTGATCAATACAATTGTTGTAGCATCTACCTTCTGCATCTGTCTTAATTTACCAACTATATTTTTTTTTCTTTTATTAAAGTGTCTTTTTGAGTAAAAATATGGGGTTTTTCAGCTCCCTAAGACCTTCCAAGCATGGTATTGGTAGTGTAGTATTTCCCTAAATTTATAACAAACCAAAAAAAATAATCAAGTTTATTTTTTAAAGACTGAATAAAAAAATTATTTTCCACAAGATTGCTGAAAAATATCAACAAATTGTCAATAATAAATTATTCTTCTAAGCAATGCCAGGTATCCCTGCTAGTAATTTAATAAAGTAAATGTTACATTGGACAACTTGTCTGTGATTTTTATTGTTTTTGTAACATTTCAAGACAAGATAATGCTTTCCAAACTTATAATTGTTCTAACTCATTTTATCCACATACACTACTATTTATACAGAAGTGTTTACCAAATGAATACTATAAAGATCTCATGAGGCCACCTTCTGAAATTATTAAGCTTGTGTTTTAAGACACGGCTGAAGTGCAGTAAGTTGAAAAAGTATCAATGCAACCAAAATTTTGATTTGTTATCATTATAAAATGTCCTGTCATCGAATGGAATGTGCTGAGGTTGACTTTAAATAAAGTCTGTAATCTTGTTACTATGGGAACTTGTAGGCCAGAATAATGGTTTGGCTGCTACTGAAATTATAATCTGACATATTTGAAGCAATCTATAAAATGTTTATTTGTGGTCCTATGAAGCTGTTGTATTCATATAAATTTAACTTTAATAGACAAAAGCTGATGATTGTTTTGTTCCTTGAGAGATGAAAGCAAATTGGTAATTTTATTAGTTTTCTGATTTTGGAAAATGAATAATATTAAATATGTTGTTTAAAAAAAAAAATGTTGTTAAAAAATAAGTTATTTTTTTTTTTTATTTCTTTTTAATTTCTTTTTTTTTTTTTTCTGGAGTATAAATATTTTAGCATATTTACAATATTTTTGATTGGGAGTATAAAATATAACATCTACTAGATTTGTAATCTCAAGTTCCTCTTCAGAAGTTCAGAGGTCAGGTTATCTTTGATGTGCCTTCACTTCTGAATCTTTACTAAATAAACTTTTCCATTAATTTTGAAACCAATGCTGAAGTACTGTATTTGACATTACAAGATAACCACATTATTACATTCAGATTTTTTTTGTATGTATTACTGAGAATGGTAATTGTTTTAATCATACTTATTATAAAACCCAGGTTTTGTGTGTGTGTGTTTATATATTGGATCAGATTTCCTACATTTTTCAACCAATTTCAACAAAACTTCACAGGACTACGTAAAATTACCTTGCGGTGGTTCTGACAGCGCCAAAAATTGGAAAAACACAATTGTTTTTGCACGAAATCAATCAATTTGAAAACACAATTAAGAGGCATCGTGAAAATGAAAGGGGGACAACTCATATCGAGTTTTACTTATTATAAAACCCAGGTTGTATGTGTTTGTTTATATATGAGATTGGATTCCCTATATTTTTCAACCGATTTCAACAAAACTCCTTTTTTTTTTTTTTTTTTTTTTGGCAGGTAGTGTTTCTTATTGTCTTACACACTTTTTCGTTATTTTTACATTCAGAATGCTTTAAAAATTCCATTTACAAGACAATTGTTTATAATAAAATTCTATTCAATTGGTAGACTCATCATGATTGAAAACAATGTTTTTGTTTGGGTTTGGCCAATTCGTAAAAAAAAAAAAAAAAAAAATAAGACATGCATGTCCGTCAACCTCAAAGAATAATCTTTGTCAATTTTATTTTTCAGTCTATATGATGGTCGATACTTGATCTATCTCTTACTGTTACATCCCCGGGCAACGCCGGGCTCTACTGCTAGTTCTTCATAATTACATCACAACCTGAAAGAACAAGTCATCTAATAATTGATATTCAAAATTATTTATCCATTTTTTTTTTTTTTTTTTTTTTAAACTCTTCTCATAGATTTTCATTTGATAAATTTATCAAAGAAAAGTAGGTTTTATTCCTTGTTTCCTGTTAAGTAATGGGCTCTTCTGATTCTTTCTAAAGTCTACTTCAGCTCTGTACTTCTAACATCTGCACCTGAACTCTGAAATTTTGTATTCGCTAATCATTTATTTTACTTTGTTTTTTTTCAATATCTCTCTCTCTCTTCCACCAATAGGAATAGATACGTTTGCCTATCGTCCGGTTCATACTCCACCCTGGTCTTTTGAACAGGAGTAGAGGTTTATGATGTGCTTCCTGTTTAGGGTTAGGTTTCCGGTTTCTATTCTAAAGTCTACTTCAACTCTATAATCCTAACATTTGTCCTTACTAATGCTAATACAATACCACACAATAGCACTCTACCTCAAGTGTCTCTTGGTCCTTGTATTGGGTGGACATTAGGTAAAAAAAATCCTATGTTAACCCTCCCAAACTTTTTTTTTTTTTTTTTTTTTATTATTCCCACTATAAACACTTGTGCTGTGGCACATTTTTGGGATAAAAACTTTTGAGCTATTTGATCAGTTTCTGGTATTAGTATTTGAGTATCTCATGTGAAAATATAACCATAACTGTGTTCACCTTAACCTTGAGTCAAAAGCTGTTGATCCCAACAACATGTAAAACTTGTTGATGATAAAGTTTCTTTACTTTTTTACTTGATAAAATACAACATTTATTCACTGTTTACTGTATTCATTCTTTCCCCTTTGTCACACCAACATGATAACCTATGGGCTTTTCATAATAACTTCCAGGAGCAGAATGTCCACCACTGCTGGCTTATTATTGTGATTTGTAGAGTGTGCACACCAGTGTAATACTACATGTGTTCCTCTCTCTCTATAATGGGTTGTATATTCTTATGGGTGTGGCCTTTACTTCAGTCAAATTAACAAGTTTCTGGTATTTCATTATCAGAGGTGACAGATGTTAAAGATTGTCTCAAAATAATGGGGGGTAAAATAGATTCTGGGATGTTAATGTGATTGATTTGGTATGATATCATTTTAGATTGTAGAATCATTCTGTTAAGATATTCCTGATTAATTTTTTTCATTTTTCACCATTTGTGACTGGTATATTTTTGTGTAATTTCATATTGGTGAAATATCTTGTCACTCAATTCAGGATAAGACATTGCTTTCACCACCTTCATCACTGTTTATAGTTTGTCTCAAATCATGATCCAAATCTTAGCCAGAGTAAGAAAGCCTCCAAAAAGACATCCCTCTTGAGAGATCTTATCAGCCAAACAAATCTCTTGTATTATACCTGTCAGCCAGTTCTGAGTGGTTGACATTGGGATTTGTGTATGGCTCTTCAAATTGTCAATTTATTCTTAGTACTTAGCACTTAATCTATAAGTTACTGAAGAAACTTGAATAAAAATTATTTAATAAAAACATTTCAAATTTATAAAATTTAGTAAATAGATTTAAATGTAGTGAATTAAAAGATAATTTCTATTGCTATTTTTTTTAATTTTTTGTAAGGCAACTGAAATGTTATTTAGGCTTGAGTGTTTTATGTATCAGGTGATCAGTTTTGTAGAAGGATGGGCAAATCTTGAGGGCTTGATTAGCCATTAGCAACAGTGCTGATAAATTCTTATTCACATAAAGAATATGTAAAAGAATTTCTAAAACCAGT